ACTTCTGTATATACTAAAACTCCAGATAAATTAAGGAGTTAAGTGAGAAATTTAAACCGCAGAGAAGTAAAATAAAATGTAAGTGGATATTTGTTGTATTATTGGCTGGTTAGGAGAACTCTTCATATTAAATGAGTAGAAAAAATTATTTTAAAAAGGGAAATATACTGAAAATTGTGAAATTGTGAGATGTCAAAGAACAACATAACATGAAAGTCCAGTATATTGTGGAAGATGTTTCTAGAAATATAACTGGAGAAATTGAAATTGAGATAAAATCACTTGCTTAAAGTCCCCACGGTATGAAGTTTGAACACGAGTCTGTCAAACTTAAAGGTTAATCTTACTTCATTAAGGAATATAGCATAGTTGTTAAAATGCTGTTTATGAGGGAAATCTTTGCAAAATTTTAGAAGTGACTGCGTTGTTAGAATCATGGATTTTTCTTCTTTCATTTGTGGTCTTATTTTCTGCACTGATTACCCATAGTATTATGATTAGAGAAATGAATCAATTCTTCAAAAATAACTAGGTATTAACTGGGGAAAAGTGACCTGTGGGGAGATTTGATTTATCATCCTTATACTTACAGAAGTAATGAACATGAGCCCACAGGTTAGATATGTATGTATTTATATCTAACATTAAAAATTTGTGGGCCTTTTGTTTATCTCTAATAGTTCTGTAGGCTTGTGCACATAGACTTTGTTTCAACGACTGTTCTGAATGATTTGGTACAGATGGGGGTTTTCACCATTTTGTTTCTTTTCTCCACACTTTAAGAGACTGATATTTCAAATGTTTAACAGTGATTTCTGAATGTTTATTTTATTTGCTGGTCTGTTTACTTAGGAATTTGAGTAATATATGTTTAGTTTTCTCTTTCCCTCCAAATTAAATCCATTTAGCAGAGGAGTTGAAATGAAGAACTATTTAGAGATATTTTGGATATGTAACCAGTTTGACAAATCCTCCATTTTTGTTTTATTCCTTAAGCCTGATTATCTTATTATCTAATAAGATAATTTATTATCTAATAAGATAATAATCTTATTATATATTTATATGTAATTTGTTCATTGAATTTACCAAATATATAGTGATCATCTACTAAGTGCCAGCCATCATTGTCAGGTCTATGCTATAGCTCTAGGTAGCATTGTCAGCTTTTAGTTAATACGAGGACAAAAAAGACAAAAATTTGGCACATATGGAGCTTGTTATATAAGTTGTAGTTTGGGGAGGCAAGAAATAAACATTGAACATAATAAGCTAATAAATGTATACCATCAGCTGATAACTGATGGAAAAAGAACAAATATAGAGCTAAATAAAGGATGACCAGGAGTAGTTGTGGGTTGTGATAGGGAATGAATTGCAATTTTCAATGGACTGATCAGGTTAGGCTTCATTGGGAAGTGACAGAAATCTGAGAAAAGACTTGGAGAAGGTCAAGGCATTAGCTGTATGGGGGCAGTGTATTCTAGCCAAAGGGAACAGCCAGTGCAGAAACCCTACATTAAGAGCATGCCTCCTGTGTTGGGAGAATGGGGGAGCATAGAGTGGCTGGAGTAAACCAAGTAAAGGGTTTCAAGTAGCAAGTGAAATCAGAGAGGTAATGAGAGACAAGATCATGCATCGCCTTGATAGGCTTGGTGTAGGAATTTGATGTTTATTCTGAATGAAATGAGCATTGTTGTAGTTTTGAATAGGAGTGATATTATAAGGTGACCAGTTAGGTTGCTTTTGAAATTCACTACAGTCTTACTAGAAGAGGTGACATTTTAATTGGCCTTAGAGGGTAAGAAAGAATTTGCCAAGTGAAGATAGAAATTTGCTTTGGCAGGCTTAATTTAAGAATATTTCCCATCACCATACTTAGGAAAATAAATGTACATTCAAACCAAGTCCTATATGTTACTTGATTTATAATAATGTCATATAAGGAACTTACTCCTTTGTGACCCCTTATATCTGTTTAACCATGCTCATTTTAAAAATTAATGTTCTAGTTTAATAAAATTTAAGGAGTTTCTATAATCCAAGAGACATTTCCTTATTACTCAGAAATCCAATTAGTCTATTAACAGTTTCTTTAGAAAGTGAATAATTGCCATTTGCCTTTTTGTCATAAAACTACAGATTAAATTGACCATCATGTGTATGTTATTAACTAAGATTCATTTATATACTTTTTTTTTTTTTAAATTTTTTTTTTTTTTTTTTTTTTTTTACTTTTATTTATTTTTGGGACAGAGAGAGACAGAGCATGACGGGGGGAGACCTAGAGAGAGGGAGACACAGAATCAGAAACAGGCTCTAGGCTCTGAGCCATGCTGAGTACTGACGAGCTGGGCTCGAACTCACGGACCGCGAGATCGTGACCTGGCTGAAGTCGGACGCTTAACCGACTGCGCCACCCAGGCGCCCCTCATTTATATACTTTTTTATTTAAAGGCTCTATACTCAGTTGTGGGAAATATGAGTAAGAATTTCTTTCCTTAGGGTACTTAAGATCAGATAAGGGAGATAGACATTATGCAAATGGTATAGTAAAAGAAAATGTTGAATTCATTGAATGGGAGTCCTAGAAAATCCTTCTCTCTACCTTTGTAAAATTTTTTACCTATTTAATTTGGTCAGGTCTTCAAATTCAGCCTCCTCGGGTTAACTTCAACTATTGAACCATACTTAAATTTTCTTCTCTAACTCCCTGTATCAAGTTTGAACCATCATCTTATTACCTGCTAATTCTACAGACTGTTCTGCATAGGTTATCTTTTAGTTACTGTTGCACAAAGTTTGTAATTTGTCTGAAATCTAAGGACTTGGCTAAAATAGTTAATTGGTAGCCAAGCATAACAAAAGGTAGTGTAGAATATAGTTTTAACTGTAAATATATTTTACTTAAATATATTGTTTCTGATAAGTTTTACTTGAAAAGTTAATTGTAAAGTAGCTTTTTGAAAGAGATATTCTTGGGGCGCCTGGGTGGCTCAGTCGGTTAAGCGGCTGACTTCGGCTCAGGTCATGATCTCGCGGTCCGTGAGTTCGAGCCCCACGTCGGGCTCTGTGCTGACAGCTCGGAGCCTGGAGCCTGTTTCAGATTCTGTGTCTCCCTCTCTCTCTGACCCTCCCCCATTCATGCTGTCTCTCTCTGTCTCAAAAATAAATAAACGTTTAAAAAAAAAAAAAAGATATTCTTTTTTTAGCCTCCTAAAATGAAAATAAAGATTTAATCCCAATTTAGAAAGATTCAGTAAAAAAACTATGTTTAAGAGACAAACAACATTTTCTCTTTACTTAGGGCAAGGAGTTTTTGCTTAGAAAATACTTCATTAACTCGATTTTTAAATGGTCTTTATAATGAATTTATTTTTACAAATTTTGACATGCATATGCCTGATCATCCTTAAAATAATAGTTTTGATATTGTAATTATCTCCAATAATCATATTTTTATGCCTGAACGGTGTTAAATACCTCAATAAAATTTGTGATTTTGAAAATATTGTAAATTTTGGTTGGAGGGAATTAAACTACATCTTAGTAACACTGTCGGCATTTGTGTTTTTTGTCATCACTGACTTTCTTATAAAATAGACAGGTAAGTTTGGGATGTCATTGATCTTAGTGTTTGGATAAGATCATTTTGAGTTCTCCTTTATCAGGACATTTGATGTCTGGTGGATTTTGAACCAAAGCACTAGAGGATGTCTTTTACCAGGCTGTTTGAACCAAAGCACTAGAGGATGTCTTTTACCAGGCTATTTCTGTGCATAAGGAAAAATGTGTCAGGTTTATTAGAAAATTAATGAATTACTGTTGTTGTATAAGTAGCTGAAGCCTAAATATGCTAATTCACAACTGTCAAAGCTTATCTCAGATATCCCAGATGTTAAAATAGATTGTAGCATAGAGCTTATGTGCTAACAGCAAAAGGTACACTCTTAGAATATAAAATAATTGATGTAGTAAAAGAACATGTAAATATGTAGTTATTCTTTGACATATCATACAAAGCATTTTTCTACATTTCTCTTCGTAAGTCCCCAAGATTTATTTTTGCTTTTAAATGGAGTGTGAGCCAAACATTTGTTGTACATAAATAAAATAATACTGATTTTTTTTTTTTTAATGATACACCAATATACTTGTATTTCATCAACTTTAGGATATAATTGCTAGGCTCTGAATCTAGGTTAAATAGTATTTTGTATGTATATTTAAATTTTCTTTGGGACCAAATTCAAGTAAGAAGCTGCAGTGTTTATCCAAAGTAGATGGCAGTCATAGTCAGAAATAAAAAGTCATATATTAAAATAATTTAAAAAAGTGTATTAAAGGGAATCTATCGTTGAATAACATCCCTGCAGATTAGTCAAAATGTATTTATTGAGCATTGTCTTTGTCCATAATTATCAGAATAGAAAATACAGTAGTGATTTAGTTAGAAGAGAACATTTTGGGCTGGAGTCAGCACATCAGGCTCTGGGCAGAAGATAAATTTCAGACATATCATGAAAGATGGTTAAAATGGATGAGTTGAAAAATAGAGCTAATAGGTTCTAGAGAGGGAATCATTATGCAGGTGTTTGGCAAGATCCCCAGTTTAATTATTTCTTAAAATAATGCAATATATTATTCCTCACTCTTCATTTATGCAAAGTTTTTGAGTACTAGCCAGAGAATAAAGAAATCTAAATTTAATCCTAGCTTCATGTCTTTCTTATTTTGTGACTTCAGACAGTCATAAACTGACTTTGCTTGCTTGTAAAATGAGGACAATAGTGCCTGACTTACTTCTGGTGAAATAATGTGTTTTTCTTGACTATTTTAGGGACTTTTGACTAGGAACCATATGCATTAGAAAAAGTGTCTTTATTTTTACCAACATATGAGAAGTTGGAGTATGTGAATTCTTGAAAGATGGTAATTGAGAAAATGAATTTCTGAATTACACTCCTATTTCCCCTTTTTCTTGGTAGCGGATACTTTGTTTTCACGGAAGCTGAATGGAAAATACAGACTTGAGCGACTTGTTCCAACGGCGGTCTATCAGCACATGAAAATGCATAAGCGAATTCTTGGACACTTGTCATCTGTCTACTGTGTAACTTTTGATAGAACTGGCAGACGGATATTTACTGTAAGTAATTTTTGAAGTATTATCTTAATTCATATAAGGCATTGAAGAAACACTGCTTATAGTTGAACTTGAAATAGAGCTTTTGATTTTTTTCTTTTAATGAAAAACTGAATATTCAGGTAATTTAGCTTACTATAATAAAAGATATTACTTGAAGTTGAACTTGATCCAGGTTTGGAAAGTTCCTAAAGGACATGTAATACAGGCACAGCTATATGATAGTGCTACATTATGGATAAATGTAATTCTGAGCATTATATCAAATTTGCAGTTGGACATTTTATAAAATGTCATATAATAATCTAAATTGTATACAGGGGCATTTCTAAAGTGTGTTAAGCAAATTAGAAGAGACTATTAAATGTATCTTTTTATATTATCCTTAGCACCTCATTTCTTCAGTGTATCTGATGTTGTGTTTAAAGAGGCTCTTTGGGTTTATTTGCTGTTGTTTCTTTTAGCTTGTTAATGGAGAAAAGCAGCTTTTCAGCTTTAACTTAGAAAATTACTTTTGGAAATATTTTTATTTTTAGTTGCTTTATTATATCCATTAAGGGTAATAGTTATTACACTGTTCTTATAATTAAATACTACCCTGTGGGCTGAAGGTATGCATTCATTCACAAAGCCCTTAATTTTCTTTGAAGTAAGGAAATAGGAAATGGAAGTTAAAATAGAAATTCCTATTCTGTCTTTGGAGAGCAGCTGAGAATTTTATACAGTTTGGGACAATTACAGATTCTTCTTTTTTTAATGTTTACTTATTTTAGAGAGTGAGAAGGAGAGAGAGTGAGCATGCAGGTGGGGGGAGGGGCAGAAAGAAAGGGAGACACAGAATCCAAAGGAGGCTCCAGGCTCTGAGCTGTCAGCACAGAGCCTGATACGGGGCTCGACACAGGGCTCCATCTCAAGGACTGCGAGCTCATGACTGGAGCTGAATTCAGATGCTTAACCAACTGAGCCACCCAGGCACCCCCAGATTCCTCTTTTAAGTAAATGTGCTTGTAAAATAAGATTTACTTATATCTTCTTCTTCTCTGCCCATACACCCAGTCATCTGTAAAATGTTTGCTTAAACAGCAGGATGTGGGAAAGGATTTCCATACATATCTTTTCCCTGGTTCTAATCTACTCAGGCATTTTCAGATCATTTCTTAGATTAGTATTCTCTTTCACCTTCTTTTGCACCTTTCCCCATTGTTCTCTGTGAAGCAAAATAAAAGCGAAATTTTCTGACAGGTCATTATTTTCAAAGTGGAGAACCGGTATCTATAAATTTGCCCAAGTGCTTGATATACCTACAACAATAATTTGCTTTCAAATGGTAATGGGGAATCACATTTAGCTTTTTCAGGGTCAATATACTAATATTTAAATTCAGTTCTCAAAACAAAGTAAATTTCACATTTGTCATGTTTAAAAGGATTCTTTGAAAAATAGTAATAAGCTGAAATTATGAGAAAGAAGCATTATGTTGTGTTTGTACTTCATTTTGGTGAGTATAAAGTTAATGCCATTGCATTGAGACTATAAAAATATATAACTTGGGGCGCCTGGGTGGCTCGTTGGTTGAGCATCCGACTTTGGCTCAGGTCATGATCTCACAGTTTGTGGGTTTGAGCCCCACGTCGGGCCCTGTGCTGACCGCTTGCTCAGAGCCTGGAGCCTGCTTCAGATTCTGTATCTCCTTGTCTCTCTGCCCCTCTCACACTCATGCTTTGTCTCATTGTATTTCTCAAAAATAAATAAATGTAAAAATAAAAAAAGTTAAAAATATATAACTTAATTTTTAATGTTAGTAAAATACCTTGTAGGGATTCTTTCTTTAAAAATGATAGGGTGGTAAGCATTTGTTTTTGTAGTTTATGACGCATTATGTGTATTTTAGTTTGATTTAGGTACATAATCTAGAATTTTTTTGCAGGAAAATGCAGTGAAATAATGTGCTGATGCTATCTCATGAGTTTGGTAGAGTGGTAGGTAAGAAGTCTGGAAGAGCAGCTCTTTGAACTTAAGGAGTAACAAACTACTCCTGTGGGTCAAATCCAGCCTTCTACCTGTTTTTGCAAATAAAATTTTATTCCAACACAAGCATGCTTAGTTGTTTACATGTTGCCTATGGTTGCTTTTGCACTACCAAATGGCAGAATTGAGTAATTATGACAGAGACTGGCATGTTTGAGTATTTATGGTTACAAAGCCTAAGATAATTAGTTAGGCCCTGTAGGGAAAAAATCTGCATGCAGCTCCTGTTCTAGATTTGGGGAGAAGGAATGCTGTGTGAAGAAGAAGCTGTTTTTTGGGGCTCCTGAGTGGCTCAGTCAGTGGTTATGCTTCCGACTTCAGCTCAGGTCATGATCTCACGCCTGGTGAATTCTGAGTGGCTCAGTCAGTGGTTATGCTTCCTACTTCAGCTCAGGTCATGATCTCACACCTGGTGAATTCAAGCCCCGTGTTGGGCTCTGTGCTGACAGCTCAGAGCCAGCCTGGACCCTGCTTTGGATTCTGTCTCCCTCTCTCTCTGCCCTTCGCCCACTCGCAATTCTGTCTCTCTCTCTCAAAAATAAACATTTAAAAAAAAGCTGTTTTTGATGATTTTTCTACAGTTGAGGACACATACTTAAAGGGAGGGAAATAATGTTTATATTATTTTATATGGTCTTACCAGAGCCTAAAATTGTTGATGTTTTATGTATGTGATATAATTTGCTAGTTGGGCCAAACTCATAGTACTGTAATTTTGTACTGGTGATTTGCAGTTATAGAGTCCAAAATGTTACCATGTGATAAGAAATAAAAGGTATGAGAGTACTCTTATTTAAAATTTCCTTGTATTTTTATAATTCCCACCTCAAGTGGCAATGTGGTACATGTGTGTTCACTGTTCATATTAACTTCATAAAGTAGGATGGCTGCTCATCCCACTGAAACACACTAGCCACTGACTGACTTTTGAAAATCAGTCTTGAAAACTGATGGGTTAAAGCTTTAGGATAGTAGATCATGATTGACCAATGAGACATTCCTGTGAGAGAGCACACTGTTGTTATTTATTGGAACAACAGTTCAGTAATAGATCAACTCAGTTTTATCTTTTTATGTATTTGGTATCTTAAGACCTTACATATTTATTCCTAAAGTTCTTGTGTAGATGTATTTGAAAGTTTTTGTCCAAGGGACGACATATTCTCTTGAGTCCTTTCTCAGTAGACATAGCTAGGGACAAAATAGATAGCACTGTGTTTAAGGGTGTCAACTTTGGCATTAGGGGGTGCTTAGTTTAGCTCACAGCTTTACCACTTCCTAGCAGTGTAATTTGGACAGATTACCTCATCGCTTTAATCTCTAGTTTTCTCATCTCTAAAAAAAGGAGGGAGGGGAAATAGACAATAATAATACCAACCCCAGAAGATTTTTATATGATTACATGAAATAATGCATGTAATCAGTGTAAAACAAGCTCTACAGTAAGCAGTCATTAAGTTTTACCTACTGCTGTCGATTTTATAGATAGATTTAAATTTTATCCATTTCATTTTCTTTTTTTTAAATTTTTTTTTTCAACGTTTATTTATTTTTGCGACAGAGAGAGACAGAGCATGAACGGGGGAGGGGCAGAGAGAGAGGGTGACACAGAATCGGAAACAGGCTCCAGGCTCCGAGCCATCAGCCCAGAGCCCGACGCGGGGCTCGAACTCGCGGACGGCAAGATCGTGACCTGGCTGAAGTCAGACGCTTAACCGACTGCGCCACCCAGGCGCCCCTATCCATTTCATTTTCTTACTAAAATCTTATTTGTAAATTCTATACAAGATCAAAAATGAAATCACTTTAATAAGAGAAATTCTATAATAGGATAATTTACAAATATTTTGTACTAGAATGTTGTAATAGATATTTCCCAGTAGAATGAGAAGAACCCAGAGAGGGAGACAGCATTACTACCAAGTCAGACTTGCTTCCTAATTCTCTTAGTTTGTAAGTTGTTTTACTTGGTTTTAGAATCATTTCCTTAAATAATATTTACCAAAGAAAAGCAGAGTTAATGAATTTTCTCAGGAGTAAGCTATTCACTCATAATACACAAAGTATGTTGAGAACCATATAAAAATATTCTTCCCTTCCCCTTTATAGAAGAAAAATATATCTCTCTTTTCAAATTAAGGCAAAAGGGTATAAAATACTTCCATAAATGCTGTAGGTTACAGCCAGACACTCTTCCAGACACTTAGTATCTAGAAATGAAAGAGTATCTGTCCCTGGAAAGTTCATCAGTAGTCAACAGACAATATTGATACAATTGATAAGAAACTTGAAAGAGGCTATATAAGATACTGAAGTGTCATAGAGGGAGAGGTATCTAATGCAGTGTGTTGTAGAAGATGGTAAGGGAAGCACTAGGAGTAACACCTCAGCTGAATTTAGCTGGATATTGCAACTTAGGGAAAGGCATTTATAAACCTTAGAAGAATGTAACAGGCAGTTGTGTATTGTTAGATATGGCAAAGGAGAAATATAGATAATCATTTAAGCAAGGGCTGGAGATATTAGTGGGAGACAAAATCATCAAAATCCTTTTGATGATGTATGAAGGGGAGTGGGTTTCTTTCCTGAAGGCAAAGGAGAGAAAATGACAGATTTTGACAGAAGAGTGAGTATAATTTCTCTTTTTAACAATCTCTTGGCATTGTAAGGATGGATTGAAAGAAACAGAGTCTATATGGAGAAATTGGTGAAAAGGTTCTGGCATTGATCCATGAAACAAATCATAAGGCTTGAACAGAGTCACAGTGAAAGTAGGGATGGAATTAACAGATTAAAAATATCTGTAGGATTTAAGAGCTTCATTTGAATATAGGGAAGAATTGAGTGGGAAGAGTATGGGATCACGTGTTTTTAACTTATGTGACTGGATAGAAAGTCCTATCATTTACTGTGGTAGGGATTTAGGTGAAGTTTGTGAAGGTGGGCATGTTGAATTTGAGATACTTACCCATATA